TGTGCCTGATAACCTTGTTGTCCTGCACATGCCACATGATGGCACTCATGATGGTTGCTGGTCAAAGCCCCATCCAGCCTGGCCTTGGATACTTCCAAGGATGGGACATCAAGACTTGCCTTTCTACGAAGCAGATAGTGTTTGTAATATGCGATGAAAAGCATATTTAAAAGCAAGATTAACCATGATGAGTAATGTGATCCTGAGTATTTCTGATTCCAAATTAAGTAACCCAGCTTCAACCTTCCTGAAGCCCATGTTTAACAAAAGAGCAGTATGTCAACCTAAAATAACACTTTGGCTGCTTTCAAGGTGTGGCACTAGTACAGCTCCACAAATTTGATGTCACAAAAAGATGAAAAATTGACAGTCCCAGCCAGCTGGGATCTTTTGCCTTCCTTCCTATGTTCTTAGTGGAAACTTAATTATAGAGACATGTCTGATTAGGTCTCTCACTTAGTGGAGGACTTTGTGGACTCATTCTACTTCTGGGAAGACTTTTTGGTTGCCCCATAATAAGTTGTTATATAGTTGTTTAGGAGAGCAACAAAGCACTTGCCTACATTGTCCTTCTTAGGTCAGTGATATTTAATGGGATACAGAGTCAGATTGTCCTCCAGTTCAACACAGCTGTCCCAGGTGCATAGTGATTATGTGTTATTACAACCTGATTCTTGTTCACTGTTCTGTCAATAACAAGATTTTTGTGTTCAATCCATTTCTTAATGGATGGGTGTTACAAGTACATTGGCATTAACTGGCAACATTGTTGGCGGCTTCTGCAGAAAATCAAAGGTATAAAATGAACCCGAGCATAAAAGCTGTGATTGCAGAAATGATCTCTATTTTAGTGCCTTGGAGGAATGCAGTGGAGAGTTTTTAACATGTGCAGCAGCAGCTGTTTAGTAGAGAGATGGCTTGAAGGTCAACCAGCTCAGCACACTGGGTCAGACCAGAGAACCATCTAGCCAAAAAGCTTGTTGCCAGCAGATGCCCTCAAGAGAATGCAAAATCAGAGGAAATATGTACAATTATTTATAGGGTATATTTCCTGAACCTCCAATGACTTTTGACATATGTGCTTCCTGAAGCAGAGTTTGTTATACAGACTAATCCATTCATTCTTTGTTTTTATCCTACTGTTTTTAATTTCTGATCAATAGCCCAGCTTCCTATGTGAAAGTGGCAAGTGAACCACTGTTTCCTAATCCCTTTCTCTGTTATTTATTTTTTACATACCTTGGTCATATAATTCCCTCAGGAGTTTCTTATCAAGAATCTTTGTTGACTTAATTGTTAGAAATCGATTCCTTTCCCCACAAATGCAAGATCTAAATTTTGAGTGTTAATTGCCTGTTCATGTCCCATAACAGTATGGGGAAAGTGAATATTGTCTTTCTTCATGTGCATTGCTATGCGTTTATCTATTATATTTTTAGCAGTTCTTTTATCTAAGTCATTCACTATAATGAACTTCTTCCACAGTTGTTTCCTATTTGGTTTTCTTTTCATTATTCTTTGTTACTTGTTATGCATAGGAAACTTGGTCAGTCTGGTGTTCACCATCTTGTCCAGATCAATAATCTCTATACTAAACAGCATATGTTACTTTGCAGGTCCACTCATAGTGCACTGCTTCTGTGTTTTGCTTGCTATAGTTTAGATAATTATTAATTTGATGATTTCACCTTATTTTACAGCAAATTAGTTAAGAGCCTTTGTGAGGGACAAAAGGTTTTTTAAAATCCAAGTACACCTTAGCAAATGCTTCTTTCATATTAATTAACAGTTTTGGACTACTCTAAAAGATATGTGAGGCAAGTCCTCTCTTTGCAAAAGTTGTATTAAATTGCTTCCTCCTCATTTTCTTATTTCTATCCATGTGTTTTGAAGAGGATACATATTAAATTGTTAATAGATTATAGGTTAAACAGAACAAAATGAACTGCTGGTCCTGTGACAGTATTTTGTTTCTGTGCAATAGTCTTATGGACATATTTATGCCCTTTTTGTCCTTAAGAAGATGAACAGGGGTCAGCCCAGCTTTATGCTCTACGATAGACTAGTTAGTGAAATATGGCTTAATAAGGAATAACATTTGAAACTTGGATCAGTTTGACCACTTTGTATCCTTTCCCTGTACTTGGTTGTTAATGTTCAGATCATACAGTAGGATTTCTGCAGACATAAATGTACAGAACTGTGGTAAAAGAAATAAATTTCTCCTTCTACTGTATTTTTCAAATATCAAAACTTTGAATTTTTTTTTGAGAAGCCTCATTTTCTTTATGAGTTTACAGAAGTTGTAGCAGTTTAGCATTTTGGCACAAATATGTCTATGCTGCAGTTTCATAGCTTTGGGGTTAATAGATTTTGATGAAGTGGTGTTGGCCATTTTTCCCCCTTCAATTAATTAACCTAATGAATAACTGTCATGTACGTCTTCTCATTGTTACTTAAATTGAGATATTTTTTCTTTACACTGATATCGTACAAAAGCATTTGATTGAAGAGACCAAATGAAAGCATTAAATTGCCTAAGTGACCCACTCATTAGTTTTTGGCTACCAAATGCTCTGAAATCACATACAATATCATAGAATATTGTTCAACAGCCTGCTAAAAGAAGTACAGCTAATAGTTCACAAGAAAAAGACAGATTTGTATGTTTAAATTGTCTAGATGTTTTCTGTCTCTTGAGAGTTTAGAGGATGGGAACAATAGATGAAGGTGTTGCAGGAATTTTCATGTTCCTTTATTTTCTGAATCTTGGGTTTAAATTTAGTGATCATTATCAAGCATTTATGATTGATTGCTACCTTCTGCTTTATTCCTAGACATTTCAGTTTCCAGACAGGCAATGGTAGATTATGTTGATCCTTTTCAACTTCAGATTGCCTGTGGTTCTGTCAATTATTTAAGTTTGTGCAGAATTCTTTAATATGTGTCAGATTATTCACTGTGATATTAATAAATTTATGCTGGGCTTTGAAGACACCTTAGCCTTTTGTGGCTAATTCTATAAAACAGAATTAGTTTTTGGACTTGATTATGAAATATTCATACTGCAAAAACACCAGGAGATCTCAATCAAATGAAAACTGGATTGTTCCATGGATTGCAAATTCTCTATATGAAATTCCTTTCCTCAAAGGTATTGCTGTCTAAAAGATTCTTTATTGTTACCAACTCCAGCAAATTCATTACAAATTTTTCATTTACTAGAAAAGTTTACCTCATTCACTAAGTCTCAGTCATCCTGTTAGAATGTGAAACTCACTATTTTGATTTACTTAAAGGAGTAAATAGAAAGATCAGTCCTTGCTGACTGTAAGCTTTAGGGAGAAAAAATAATCCTTAAATCCTTACGGGCAAGAAAAAGAAATAGACAATTCCCAGAATACTCTTTATTTTGAGTAAGTTTTATGGCTTTTGAACACCTGGGCATAACAGAGCTGAAGTTGGGTCATTCTGTAGTTTCCTTGCTCTTGTAAGTACTGCTCAGTGCATATATACAGCTCATATAAAAATAACCACCTTTCAACTGGAAAGTTTGCTGTAAAATATGGGAAAAAAAATTTTGATTCAGAGACAGCACAAATGCCTAACTTCAAGGTAAATATCTATGTCTTTGAATTCTTCTCAGCTGCCTCTCTGTTAATATGATTGTTATCTTTATAAAAGGGTGACATACTCAGTTGTCTTAGTAGTGCAGGGCTATAAATGCCAATAAAAAGTTTTCAAGTTATGATTATTAAGTATTCTGTAAGAAACTCCTAGCTCATTTTATTGTGTATTTATTAAGCATTTTTTAAGCTCATAATCATGCTCATAAATTTCAGTTGGTACACTGAGCAGTGGTTTCCAGCATTTTCTAATCCGTTTCTAATTTAATTGATTTTTACCCATAAACAATATTTTGAAATAATTTGCCAAGAAGCCCAGTTACCATCTTTTTTTGGGCATACTTCCGTACTTTCAGTTACTGATATAATGGTGTAAACCTCTGGAAATTATTACACAGGAAAAAACCCTACATATTCTGCAAGTGTATATCAATTAAGAAGTATATGTCTCTTCAGTGTCCTGAAGTGCTAGTGGTTCTGCGCCAACTTTTAAAATTTCATTAATATTTTTTTGTCGTATTTCATTCCTGGTGCCTTCATGCACTATTTACCTGCAGTACACAAGATGCTACATGTAAGAGTAGGCTGAATAGTCTGTATATAAGCTCTAGGTTGGGTTTGAACAGACCCCTTTATCAATAACTATATATATCCAGGTTAATTCTTCTAACCTAATTTGCATTCGAACACATTTGATATAAATTTATTTTCTTTTGTAACATTAAATGAGTAGATTGTAAAATATTTATATTGTCACTGTTCTGAGATCTGGATATCCTTTAGTGCCTAGATAGTTTCATCACTTTTGCCTTTCTAGTAGAAGCATTTGAAGGAGAACTTCAAAGATAAAATTTCAAAATTCATCAGTCTGTATATATATATAGATAGATAGATAGTTATAGATCACTCGGGAATCAGAATTTTAAATCTACTGTTAAATAATACAATGGATGAAAACCACAATGCACAAATAAATCCTCTAATGTAGTATTTAATTAGGATATTATTTGTCTGCTTTTCTCTGATGATTTTTTTGAGGCATGTAGAAGATATGTACAGACCAAATTAATTTAAACTAAGGATGTATTTTATGTCACATTTAGAGAAAATTCAGGGTATTTATGACTAAAAGCTGTTTCCTTCTTAGTAGCAGTTATTAAAATTAACATCACAAGCAAAATATCAAGATGGGTCGCATTCCTTTCTACATGAATGATTCTTTTTATTTCTCTACCAAATTCTGAGTTTCTTGTGTACTTTCATTGCTATGATTATTCACTTCTGAGACAAACAGAGCCAAAGATGCATATTCATGACTTTTTCACTGTATTGTCATATAAACTGCTCTTACTCTTTCTCATTTATTCTACACAGGCCCCATCATCACCTTCTTCACCCATAGCTAATGAACCAAAATATGAGAAGCGCTGGCTAGACACCTTATCAGTTCCTTTGTCGATGGCTCGAATCTCGAGGTACAAAACTGGAACAGATAAATTAAGGTTTGTAATCTAAAAGGGGAAGCACTGGGTTAGTTAGCTGTACAAGTGTTTTGAGGTGGACTGTTGGCTTTATAAGAATTATTTGAGTGGAGATATGACAGTCATTAAAAAGTTCATCTGTGCAGTTCATCCTCTCTTAAGATTAATGACATGCATGGTGACTACAAAGATAAAGTAAAGCTCCTACAAATACATTTCTGTAATCTGTTGTATCTTGGGAATTCAGTGAGCATCTGCAACTAGTACAAAGGTTAATCTTAGCGTTAGTTGAATTAACTTTGAAGGTACTACATTTGGTTCTGTATCTCTTATAAAATACATCTATATTCGCAAATTCTATTATTGTCATCTAACTCTCCTTTTTCATTATGAATGGTAACACCATGCACAATCATCATGACTGTGCTATCACTGTCATGCAGAAACTCATATTGACAAGAGATTCTGGCAAAGTACATGGTAAAATATATTGTATTTTTGATCATAGAATTTTTTTGCAACTCAGAGACATAACTGATGGTTCTCAAAGTAGCTGTGGAATAGGAAGTCAGAGGTGATTTTACTGGACTTCAGGAAAGATGAAAGCAAAATTGAAGTTTAATAAAGCATCAATAATTAATATGCTTGAGAAAAGTTTAACACATCACAGCATACATAAGCTTTTCCTAGACATCATTCCATGTGGTAGGAGTGCCTCAAATCTGCTAGTTGTTGTGGGCCAAATAGTCCATATGTATCAGAACAGGAGTTCATTTGCTGTTGTTATTTTCCATGTTCTTTATGTGTTGCCCTATTTTTATTTGCTTCTAATACGTATTAAGGAGATAATCTCTATTGAAGCATCAACAGTACAGGTCATCTGCTACCAGGAGGTATTAGAAATTCATGTTAAAACCTTTCTTGGTCTGTACCAAATTTGTTACCCATTTCCTAAAAATGACCTGAAAATCATTATTTTCTAGTAGGACAGATTTTCTGCTTTAAGTTAGTGCAATTAATCTCCTAAACCACTTGGCAGCTCCTCTCCCAGATTTTGTGTTAAAGCATCACAGGTGAATAATAATAAATTATCCAGAAAAGTTTTAAGTTCTTCCATAGACTTTGTTTGAATTCTTAATTCTGTTTTATTTAGTCTCTCATCACTTCCTCCATCACTTTCTTCCTCCCTACTTCAACTGACCAGTTCATGTTGTCCAGCCTTTCCCAATCCATCCCAACCATTCAAGGATTAGAAGTTCTCCTGTGAATTAAGTGAACAAATCTCAGTGTGCAGATTTAGATATCAACACGTTGTCAACTTAATATCAATATTCTAAAATGTAGAGGATAAGTGAAAGAAGATAGAACGTTTAAACCTCTAACTTCAGTTACCACCCTGATAGTTTGAAGCAGTTTTGCTCCTGTGCTGTCCACTTCACCCATTAGATGGAGAAATCCCAAGGGATTCTAGTTCACAAAACAGTAGCATGTGCATTTTGAGAATTCTTGGAAGTAAAACACCTTCAGATGTTGTACTGGGTCTAGATGAGATGGAGCTAATTTTCTTCATAGTAATCTATATGGTGCTGTGTTTTTGTTTGTGACTCAAGCAATTTTAATAGCATACCAAAATTTTGGTAGTTGCCGACCAGTGCTTGCGCACCATCAAGGCCTTCTCTTTTTCTTGCTCTGCTCCCACTCAGTGAATAGGCCAAGGGGTAGGCAAGAAGTTGAGAGGAGGCACAACCAGGGCCAGTGACCCAAATTGACCAAATTGACCATTCCATGCCACGCGACATCATTGCTCAGCAATAAAAACAAAGCAGAGGGGGCTTGAGGGGAGCTAGCCTTTGCTTGGAGACTGACAGGACATCATTCTGCTTGTGAAATGTGGTGAGTGGTTGCCTTTGCATCCCTTGTTTTGTCGTGGTTTGGTTTGTTGGGGGCTTTTCCTCTTCTCTTTGCTTATTAAACTGCCTTTTTTTCAGCTCATGAGTTTTTTTATTCTTCATATTCTCTGTGCTGTGCCTCTGGAGAAGGGTGGTGGAGTGAGTAGCAGTGTGGATGGTTGGCTGCTGGACCAGGATCAAGCACTCACAGATATATTTTTCTTGTAAGAATTGAGGAGCTTAGTACTTTCAATTTCAATCTTACAGAGACTAATTCTCTTGTGATGCATCTCATTCCCATATATATTTAGTATACATACCACTCCTTAATTACTGGTGGGTTTTTTCCATTTTTGTTGTATACACTCTGAAGGAAGATGAAGTAATTCCACACAGCTTATCACCATCCCATGATACTTCTAGTAAGTGCTCCTTGCTTATTTTGATAAATGAACAGAAACATCTATATGGGCATTAAAGCAATACTGCCTTGAGATTAACTGTGGATGAGGTGTTTTCCATGTTCTTACTAAAAGTGTTTATTTTTGCCAAACTGCTTTTATCATAAAACCTGTGATCAGTCTAAATAACAATCCTGCTTTCAGCCATATCTACACATCTCTGTTCCCTTTCACATTTCAGCCATCAGTCTAAAGTCTGGAGTGAGTCCATTACAATTCACTTCCCTGAACATATCACAGATCCTTCTGACCAATTTGCTAATTTTTCCATACTCTGAATATTTACTCTAAGCCTATTTGCATACAGTCTTTGACAGCATGCCTGTTTTTTCTGTATTATATGAGTTCATGTCATGTCATGCTTGTAACTTTTTGTCTCTCTCGTGTCATAACTTTGTATTGTTGCAATGCTTCATTATATTTTATCCACTAAGTTACCTCAACTGGTCTTTCAGAGGTGCCCTGGCACCAGAACAGCCAGGTTACTTTTGAAGTCAGTGTTGGAGTTGTTGAAGTGTTGGAACTATCATCTGTAGTGTCACATACACAGCTGTGTGCCTTCTGCTCAGCTAGATGGACTGTATAAAAGGTCTTTTTCCCCTACTTCCTACCAGAATTAAATTCAGAGAGGGCTGTATAATTCTTTCCATCAAAAATTACCTACAACCCCTTGGCTTTTGGCATTGCTTTTTGACTATGCAAAATATTATGGCTTATGAAAGGTTACTGAAGCCTGTAGGATCATTTTGCTGTCTGTCCACTCACAGGTAATGAACACTCTGCGTTCTTCAATTCCTCTTTTCCCTGATAGGAAAACATCTTTTACATCTGGGCAATTATTGCAATTGACTACAGCAGAACTTTCCATACTTTTGTTACTATACTCAATCTCAAACTGATTTTTAAAAATATATAGTATTGTATTGTATATGCTATGTATAGTGTCTGTAAATGTCAATCCAGGTACTCTTGCTGTTCTGATGTGGTAAACTGCCATCAGCCAGTCTGGATGGCTCCTCTGACCTCATTCACTTCTCCAAACAATCTTTGAGATTGTTTCATATTTTCAGCATTTTTTTTTATTAAATAACTCACAGATAACCTTAGGAACAAGAAAAAAGATTGTTTGTCATACAGTTGAGCAGAGTCTGATATTTTTCCTGAATGCCATCTTTTTGTTAACCTTTATTTAAAAAAAAAAAAAACAAACAACAAAGTATGACAATGTACGGCATGTCAGCATCTTGCTCAGTATTCATTTTTCAACTGGAAATATGTTATATAGCTAGAGTTGTCTGTTAGACTGTAGTTTACTTTTAGTTTGCCTTAGATCAAATCTAGTCTAATCTAATCAGATTCAGCTGTATTGTTTCCTTTGGGGTTAAACTATGCAGTTTAAATTCTTCTGTATTCCATATGAGTTTTCTGGTAACATTGGTAAAAAAAGGGCATATTTTCAGACTACTCTTGTGTCATGAGAAGGCCAGGATCATGTGTATCTATTTGATTGTTATTCTTTTTTTTCATTTGAAGAGAAAGGAGTTGCCTTTGGCCTTTCATTACACTTGACTTTTAATTGTTTTTTCCAAGGAAGACTGGTGACTTAATGACACAGGAAGGAGCATGTTTTTTTATATATTTTAGGTTCTGACAGCACCATACATATTAAGAGAAACAAGAGACAATGGGATATATTTTTTCCTTCCTTATAAAGGAATGACTGAAAATACTGCAGTGTGACTTCCAAGTATGTTTGTCCATACCACAAAACAAAAGCAAAAAAATTGCCAAGAATATTTTAAAGGAAAGTTAAGAAATGTAGTAGATGCCATTCCTCTTCTCAATGGAAGACTAAACATTGTATTAAGAAGTGAAATCACTCTGAATTAGTGCATGTCATATTGTTGATATGATTGGAGTCTATCTGAATATTTTTATGCAGCAGGCTGATTAATCTTTTTGTTTACTTAGCAATTCAATAATTTTTTTTATTCAATTGCCTTTATAATATAGCATTACTACTTCTATTATTCTACACTTCTCACCAATCCACCAATGTAGTTTTTCTCTGTAAGAAGTAAGGTAATATATACAATGAGAATGCTGTTGCTCTGAATATGCTTAATTGGTGGTTGGTAATGGAAACATTTTTCAAATATTGAGGATAGAGTTGGTCAATAAGTCTGATGTAAGTTTAACAGAGAAATAATGAGATCAGTAGGTCTTTCTCAGCCAGAAGAATTTGTAGTTCATAGTAAGTTTTTTAGGGGGGTTTATTTAAGATATAGAAGATAAGTAGTCTTATAGAAAGTGGAGAATGTAGTTCACTCATTGTAGTCTTTCAGTTTTCTTATGAAATGTCTAAATTGTTATTTGGGAAAATGTAGATAAGTATTTTTAGTCCTTATAGCAGATACTGGTAGTACTGTATAATATTTTTTATACACTGTATTGACTGGAGCTTTGAGTGAAGGTACAGTAGCTATAACCCCTTGAACATTATGAGTTTAGACACTGAAGAAAAAATGCTTACTTAGAATATGGAAAATTGAGGAAGTGAGTGGAAGTAATTCAGGTCCCGTATCAATGAGCTCATGTAACTATGATCCCCATACAAAACGACCTAATTAGATTTAGGTGTTGCTTTCTATTCCTTGTTATTCTGGCCATT